AGCCCCTACGTTTTCGGCTGCTTTATCGATACCAACCTTCTGCTCCTGCGAAATTTGCGGAACATAGTCGCCGTTTGACAACATTCTTCATCTGTCTTCGGACACGGGAGAGGGCAATATGTATGTAATCCTGATCACTGCACTTGCGCTTGTTCGACTGCATTCGCTTCTGGAAACGAGGAAGATAGGATGTACTGTTGACCAAAGCGACCCCGATATTGATGGCTGGATTGAGCCCAAACTCATCATCCCCAACGCGTAACCACACAGAAGACCATAAGACAAGCGACTAGCAGGTGATTTAACTAATTCTCCACTCAGCTTTCCGGCGCACCGATTTAATTGCAGCAACGGACTGCCACAGCAACCAGGAGGCATACAGGCTACATATTATGAAGCTACCGTGAAGACACGGTGGCATGGGCTGTGTAACTTCATTCATTTCAACGCCCTTAAGATCCTCGAACGCAAGGGACCAGTTCGCTAAAAAAACAACGCGGATATCAGCAACCTATTCGCAGAGAAGAAAAGACGGCGCAAACGCCGCGCACCACAGCGAAGTCGGACAAAATTGGAGCAAAACCAACGTATAGCCAAAAGCATCCGCTCCACTATCACCCGTGCGCAGCAGGAAAGCTTTATTGCAGATAGGGGAAGACAGCTTCACATGCAAGAAAAATGCAATCGATAAGAAAATAGGTCCTATAATATAGGGACTATCTCAATCGACCACTAGCACTCCCATAGACTGGTATTTTGAAGACATGACGCTATTCCAAGATCTTCTGAACAAAATGCTGGAACGTACTACGTCAATTTTAGTGGAAACAGCCTTCCTCCTTGAAAAAAGGCCAGAGAGCTCATTTGAACCAAGGCGTCGTAGACCTCTTAAAGTTATCCTGACCAGTACTGACGAAGCCACGCTCATTCTGTATAGGCATTTTAGGATAAATGGCTCGAATCCTGGAGTTTGTTTCACCTGCGGAACGGATAAAACATCGTCAATTTGTTACTGAATCGAGGCAGAGGCTCAGCGAAAAGGCACGATTTTTGGTTATTTACAACAACCAAGTGATCCAGCGTCCATCGTTCTTCCCCTCGAAAGGCCCGTTCCGGATGACCGCGCAGTCGACCCGGTAAATGAAGGATAGAGACCGATCGTAACCACGTCCTGGACAAACCGCAAACTAACGTTCATGTACAGCAATGCACAGAGTATGTTAGCAAAGCTCGACGAGCTGAAAATCTAGTTCTGTGAACTATCTCCAGATATTATTTCCTTAACCGAAACCTGGTTGTCCCAACACGTGGACGACCGCGAGTTAACTATGACTGGCTACCAAATATTTAGAAAAGACAAGGAAGAGCGTCAAGGAGGAGGTGTTCCCACATACGTGGAAAGTGGACTTACAATTTTAGATAAAACGGATAAAATGAACTGTACTTCCGAGGCGATCTGGCTATCCATTAAAGTACCAGGTTCATTAGGTCTCGATGTCCTGGCACTTTTCGTACCACCGAGAAGAGATCCCGTAGCTGGGGCCTTCTTGCTATATGAGCTTGAAAAATTGCTACATGGTTGGATATCCTGATATTGAGTGACTCTAACGAACCTCATATTGACTGGAGCTCGGCCTTCGCATATGGTTCTTATCTGGCCTTCGACATGGCCTTTAACCATGTTGTACTGCTACTCGCTTTTTTCAATTCCCGAGAGACCCACAATAGTCGGAATCTATATTTGGCGAGGCAATTTTGATCGAATTATGGCTGAACTCACGTGCACTGAGCGGGAATCTTTATTTTTTGGAAACATAAACGACGACCGGGAAACGTTCCGGGAAATACTGCAGAG